ATACTAATGCACTAATTTAAGGAAAATAGGGCACTGATGTTATTTGGTCTAAAAAGAAGGCTGGGAGAGAGACTAAGTGATACCTAGTAAAGGGAATTAGGCTTAAATTGCACAAGAAGGGATTGAGGACAGACACTGACAATGTTTATGTTGTTGGACCTAAGGGAGAACTTTCTTACAAGACCCTGAGACACTTCAAGGAAGTAGATTTACTTTCTGATCTGCATGAGGCGGGGCAGTGACAGGATGCTGTGACGAAGCCCTTCCCACCCTAACTTTCTCTGATTGTATAGTTAGGCGCTAACTAATAGATTCTTTGCCATGACAGCTGCTCTTTGCTGTCACATTTTCAGGGTCATACTTTGATGCAGCACTGCATACAGTGTGATATTTCTGATGTGACAGTCCTCCTGGATTCAGAGTGGGTGGCAGGTAAGTAGTGATGACTGCTGGTGGGATGATAGACAGCCACTAGAAAATGTCAAGCATTTGCAGCATACAACACCTTCAAGATGTCTTAGAGGAACCCCCTTCGTCCCAGGAATAAGAATACCCCCAAAGAAAGAGAGGCTTTAGATAAAAACCAGTTTGAACTGTACATGATGGTGTCTTGCACTTCAGACTAAAAGACCAGACAGACACCTCCTTGTCTTGCCCACCTGACTGTCAGCTCCTGGATTGTCCCCTGGGGCTGGTGTCCCTCTCACTCAGAGGGTCGTCCAACTCACAGATATCTTGCTAAATGATTGATCTGTTCCTGAGCACAGGGAGAGAAAGGAATGAGAGGGAGAGGATGGTGAAGTAGTCCCTCTAGGAGCTTTGATGGTGCCGTTCGAGCTCAGCAGGCTCCACTTCAAAGCCCTTTGCCAGTGGTCATTAATGAGTCCTCCCTTCTCTAGCGGGGAGAGGACTTTGCTGACAGAGGAATGGAGGTTAAGTGCTGGCTCAGTACTTTCCAGCTGGGATTAAGACATCAGAGGCCCCCGGGCAATGTAAGTAAGTTCTGAACATGAAATCCTTAGAGGAAAAGGGGCTGAAAAGCAACAAGGTAATTCAATCTGAAATGAGTGTTTTAGTTCTTAGAGACAGGAAGGCAGCCCTTTCCATGTCCTTAGACATGTGCAGGGAAGTGCTTATGAAACGAGAAGTCCAGTGTCCCAGGTTTGGTGAGGTCAGGCTCATGTTACCATAGGGAGGACCTCTGCCCTGCCGCCAGGGGCTCCTTGTACTCCAGGGAGAACTGACCACACCAAGCACCACATTCAGCTCTGAGAGGCTGCACATTTCTGTACACCAGCTGTTGTGTTTAAAAAACAAATGAGCACCAAGACACAAGACCAGGCCGTAGAGGCAGGAGTAGATCAAGTGGAAACTGAGAGCTCATCCTCTTCTGGGCTGGTGAGTGAACCCAGACGTGATGTTTCCAGCAACCTGCCTTCTTCTCGAGATGGACCTTAAAGGCTAAGCTTAAACCTCCCTTTCTGTGAATAGCTCCCCCCGAACCTCTCCAAACCCATCTCTCACTGCTCCTCACCACCTGGCCCCTTCCTCTCAGACTCATGCACTCCTAGCTGTCTCTTACAGGTGACCTGTTTTGGGTTCTTTGTTTTCTCTCCCCCCTCCTTTCTTTCTGATTCAGGGTCTCTGTTGCCCAGGCTGGGGTAGAGTGGCACATTCATAGCTTAACAGCCTCCTGAGTAGCTGGGAATACAGGCATGCACCACCAAGCTCAGCTAATTTTTCTTTTGTTTTTTTTTTTTGTAGAGATGAGATCTCTCTGTGTTGCCCAGGCTGGTCTCGAACTCCTGGTCTCAAGTCATCCTTCTGCCTCAGCCTCCCAAAGGGCTGGGTTTACAGACATGAGCCACCACACTGGCCTGTGTTTGGCAATTCTCCACCCCAGATGGCTTTGTCCTGCACTCCTTCAACCCATGCTCGCTTATCTCTCAAGACCTAGAGTGAAACTTATCTCTCCTGGGAATGAAGCCTCTATACCAGCCCAATGCTCCCTGAATTTTTTAGCCCTGCTGTTTAGGGTACATGCATGCTATTTGGTATCTTTTTAATAGGGGTATGGCTTGGTTGTCAGGTTGCCTCACTTGAACTATTTGGCTTCCAGACTTCTATTTCTTGGTTTTGGCACTAGCACTCAGAATAGGGTCTTTCAGGTGAAGCAGACAGTCCCACCCCACTGCCACCCCCACCGCCAAGGTCTCACCGTTGATCCTATTGCCTTGGAGGTAGAGGTTCTCCAGGTTGGTGTTGACTGGGGGGATCTTCTGCAGCTGGTTGTAGGAAAGGTCAAGCTCAAGGAGGCTGCTGGAATTGAAGGTGTTGGAGGCCAGGCCGTTGTTGGTAAGACTGTTGTGGGACAGTCGCACATACAGCAGCTTGGGCGAACCCCGGAAGTAGCTATCGGGGACGGTGTAGACGTTGTTGTGCTCCATGTACAGCTGCTCGAGGGCAGAGGGCAGTCCGTCAGGCACCCTTCGAAGGTGGTTATAACTCAGGTCCAGCAAGATCAGTGACCGGAGGCCCCTCATGGAACTGCCCACCTCCTGGATCTCGTTGTGTTGGAGGTACAAAGCTGTGAGATTCTCCAGCCCCTCCAGAGCGTTGTTGGGGACCCGTGAGATCTGGTTGTGGTCGAGATGGAGCTCTCTCAGGGACCGAGGCAGTGGACCAGGCATCCGGGTCAGGTTGTTGTGGTCCAGGTACAGCCTCTCCAGGTGCCTCAGCTTGGAGAAGATCCTCCGGCCCACCTTGTCACTAGTGATCTGGTTGCCATGGAGAGCAATCCAGAGCAGCCCCGTGGCATTGTCGAAGACGCCTTCCTGGATGGAGGATATCTGGTTGTTCTGGAAGTAGACGTACTTCATGCGGGAGGGGACGAAGGGCAGGTACTTGAGGTTGCGGTTGTCACAGTACATGGCCGTGGGAAAGTTGGGTGGACAGTCGCACTCCTGGGGACAGTCGCGGGGCTCCGGTGGGGATGGAGAGCCATAGGCATAGGCTGGGCCTTCGTCCACCCCATAGGGGTAAGGCTCGTAGGGCTCGTAAGGGTAGGGGTCGTAGGGGTCGTAGTAAGTGGACTGCTGGCTGCGGACGTAGTGGAACCACCAGTGAGGGTCCTCGTCATACTGGGCCTGGGAGAGCGAGCAGAGTCCTGCCAGCAGCAGGAGGGAGGTCCACTGCATTTTGTCTCTCTGCAAGAAGGGGAAAGCACAGAGCAAGCCAGCATGAGTGCAGCTCTATGTAGGCAGTGAGGCAGGATGGGCAAGCCTTAGGCCTGGAGCTGTGCAGCTCCCACCTCAGAGTCAGACATCTGAGCACAGGAGCCTTGCTCTCACCTCCTCGGTGGCTCCTCCCAGCTGGCTCCACTCTTGGTTCCAGTGAGACCGTGACAGTTTAGGGTGAGCTAAGTGCGTTTTCCCTTGGTCATAGAGACACAGAGTCTTTGAGGTTAAAAGGAACTTGGATGGGGGTGGGGGTGGCTGCATTTTTGGGAATGGCAGGTCCTTAGGAACATCTAGCACCTTGGAAGTTCTGTTGGAGAGGCTAGAAATCCCACAACAATCCCTGTGTATGTGTGTGGGAGGGGGAGGATAAGAGTGGGGTGCCCTTCAGGCCTGAACCCACATCTCATTTGGAGACATCTAGTAGCTTGAGACATCAAAGGGGAAGATCTGAACTACTTCTGGTAGGTCTTTTGATTTCCTGGGCAGGCTGGGATTTTCTGGTCTTGAGTGTTTGGGGTGCATGTGGTCCTTCTGCAGCCACCACAAAGCTTGGACCTCCCTCCAAAAGTGCCATTGCCTATAACAATCTGCTGGGTGAGACAGCACTCTAGCTAGCAGTTTATGGCTACACGTGCAACCTGGTTAGGACAGGATTTTCATGTAACAGTCACAAATCCTGTCTGGGGATGCTAGCACTGGGTGTGGCACTTGTCTTCTAGAGTGGGTGCACAGTGTGTGGAGTCTGAGTTAGTCTCCTTCTCTCTCTCCCGTGGTGCTTAGTAAGGTGTCAGCACCCTTTATGCTCCACCATGGGCATCATGCAAGGGGCACTTGGGGGCAAGATAAATGAATGAGGAATGCCAAAAGAGGAAATAGACATTGGAGACTTTCATGTATGACCAAGGGAAAGTGACTTGAGATGAACTTCTGTCACCCCCTCTCCTATCCCAAGCTACCTGCCCCAAGTGATGACATGTAGCTTACAAGGCTCCGTAGGTAGGCTCCCATATTGCAGGCAGCCTGTAGTCTTTGAGCTTGCTAAGCTAGTGAGATGAGCAGAGGGTGGGCTGGGAAGGACATGTGGAGTCTGGTGCCATCTGAGAGGGAAGCTGACGAGGGGCCAGGTGTGGCATGTCAGGCCTGGGTACATATAACCAAGGCACTGCACACCCCTGTGGGCAGTGGGCATCTTGCAGAGCATCACCCTTGGGCAGAGAAACCTTATAACCTGTCTTGGCCTGGAAAAGTTGCATGTGTCCCTTGTGTCCCAAGTTGGGCCTTGCTGGGGTTGGCAACTGTAAACAGGAGAAAGAAAGGAGTATAAAGGCCAACATCAAATCCAATAAACTGGTGGGAAGAACTCTGACTATGACACTCGACTGAGTCACCTGCTGACCACCGTCCCTCCTAGACCTCTTTGTCCCCCTGAAGCAGTCCTCTTAGACTCATTTCATCCCACCAGCCCTTGGGCTGCAGAGAGCAGGCACCCTGGCTCATCCTCAGGCAGCCTTGGGCCTCAGACAAAGAACCACAGTGTTTTTGAGAAGCAGATCCAACTGCCCACTGCCTGGGCACGCTGGCTGGTCCCTGGCTCTGGCCAGGAGCGAAGACGGATGGAGCGGACCACTGCCAACAGCGCATTTTTCCATGCACAGCCCTGGGCTGCTGCAGGACCAAGGTGGCTGTCTGCAGGGCTGGCACAGTGAGTCTCTGTCTCCATTTCTCCCTCTTTCAGACAAGAGCCACCTTCCTCGTCAAGACTCAGTGCTCCAGAGGCTGTGTACCCTGCCGGCTTTGGCCTCGCCTTAGAGCCATGGCTGCTGGAAGGGTTTGGTGGGCAGCTTATGCCTCTCCTTACCCCACCCCCATCTCTTAGCAATGTGGTTTCAGGGTTGTGCACTCTTAAACTGTATCTCATGATGCCAGAGACCCTCCCAGGCTCAGAGTCCTCTAAGGTGGAAACTTTCTAGGACGGGCTCTCCATGAGGTGGGGTAGCTTACCCAGGCACTCATGTTGTTCTTTCATTTCTCCACTCTAGGGAAAGAGCTCTCCCTCCTCCCATCAGAGTGGAGGAGGTCAAACCAGAAGCGATCCCCTCACCTGGATTGGACCCCCTGGACAGCCACAGCTCCCTGGACATGGCCAATTCTCAACACTTCTCTTTATTCTCTCCTTTTCAGTCCAGTAACACACACACACACACACACACACACACACACACACACACACATACACACACACACACACACAAACTGCCCCCTCCCCAAAACAGCATTTACCACCCTTCTAGACTGTAGAGACACCCAGGTCTTCAGATACCCTTCAAAGCACCCAAACTCCCAGAGTGGTGGGATTCATGAGCAGGAGGGGAGAGGTCTCCCTAAATAGCTGGTCCTTTACTTTTTCATGCCTGAGAATTGGAGTCCCCCCTCAACACCCAAAAGGAACTGCAGGAGAAAGGTAAAACATTGGAGCCCTCCCTTCTGTGCCCCCTCTGCCGTTCTCCAGCATCCCTGGGGTCATGGCCCAGATGAGGAGGAGGAGGCATGGCTTCCTCCTGCCTATCCCCTCCCCATCCCCTAATCCCTTTTTATAATTTCTTTTAGGGAACTGCTAGGGACAAAATCTGAAGTAAATCTTACCTCAAGTTGAACCTTTCAGAGAGTGACCACGTCCCTCTGTCTGGCCTCCTTGGGTTGGAGAACGTGTGAGAGAGAGAGGAAGAGAGAGAGAGGAGTGAGAGAGTCTACTGAGAGTGTGCGCGCCTGTGCCAGACCAGGATCCCGCCCCAAATTCCTAATCAAATATTGTGAAGAGAGGGGCTGAGGAGTCCGGATCCTTTTCGGCTCTGCTGCAGAGGCGGAGCTCACACTCACCCAGGCAAACCCTTCTGTCCGCCCAGTGCTGTAAAAACCACCTTCTTTCCACTCACTTATCTTCCCTGAAGCATTGGCAACCCCTGGGTCTCTTTCTGCTGAATGAGTTAGTGGCGCCCTAGAAGTTATTTGTACAGTCTCTTGTGAAGTGCCTGGATTTCTCATTAAAGCCACAAAGGCAGATGCAGGGATGGAGAAGGCCAGGATTTGGTTAGAGGCGTCTTAACTCTTTCAGCAGCCCAAGTGTCTCCCAGAGAGCTGGTACGTGCCCTCCTCAGCTCAAGCTCCCCCTATAGGTGGGTCATTAGACTAGTGGATAAGAGCATGCACAACAAAGGACAGCTGGCTCTGGATCCAGTTCTGTCCTTAACCAGTGTAGACTGTTCTGGGCTACACGTGCCCCCTCCTGTCTGCCGCCCTCCCAAGCCTTGGAAATGGAAATGGAAAGGCAGCGAATCCCACGTTTGTTGATTGCTTACTATGTACTAGCATCATACACTTTCAGTTAATCTTCACAGCAATTTCAAGGTCAATAACACTTACCTTGTTGGACTGTAGCGAGGACTGTATGAGGTAACCTGTGTAAGGTCCCTGACCTGGCACAGAGTGACACTCACTCTGTGGTGGAGATTATTACTGTCATAGCCATCATATAGCCGTAGAGTTCCTGAGCCAAGGTCAGGAGCTGGGCGATGAAGGAACTTTTAAGCCTTGGAAATAACTTGATTTTAATTGTAAATGTTTAAGAAGCAACATGTTTTAAGCAGGGAAAGCCATGGGATCTGGTTTACGTTTTAAAAAGCACGTAGGAGGGGCTGCTGTGTGGAGGGAGGGAGGCCAGCGTGGAAGCTGAGAGGCTCTAGCCTAGCCTTGAGGAAAGAGAATCACTGACTGGGCTGGTGCAGTAGAAGAGGGGATCATATATTTTAGACAAGGAACTGATAAGTCTTGCAGGTGAATCAGATATGGGGAGTTAGAGAAAGTCAAGGACGATTCCTAGAATTTTAGGTTGAGCACTGGATGGGTGGTGGTACCATTTCTCTGACGTGGGAAAGATGGGCTGGAACAGAGTTAGGTGGAAAACCAGCCTTTGGATGTGGTAAGTGAGAGATGTCTGTTAGGCTTTCTAGTGGAGATGCATACAAGCAGCTGGATATATAAACCTGGGTTTTGAGCTTAGGGGCTAGAAGAAAACATTTGACAACCGTTATAATTTGGATCACATAGAATCTTGGTAGCTTAGGTGAACTCATGCGTTCTAATGTTCTCTCCTCAAGTCTGTTAATTAGCTCATGTCAGCATCAAAGAAACACCTTTGTTTTAAAAAATACCAACTGAGAAACCCTCAGATGATTTGAATGTGAGGAGTTTAGAGGTGCTGAGAGTTGGCCCTTTTGGCTGCTCCAGTGGGTTTCAGCTGTTGATTTAATGTGTAGGCTGTCAGAAGGGTCTTTGTCAGGGACCTGCTCTTCTCAGGAATTAAGATGAGATGTCAAAAAAATGAAGCATAATGAATAAGCCTTTGCTGCCCACCTACTACAGACTAGGTGGTTTGCTTATGTTGTCTCATTTAATGATCACAGTTGGTTTTTTGCATTGGAAATAGGGATTTGGTGATGTATGTGACTAGCTGGTATCTAGTAAAACAAGAATTTTGAAACTTTGTCTACATGACTTCAAAATCCACATGCTTTTCTGTAACTCTGTGTTGGCAGAGTGGAGGGTTAATGATTATCTTGCTGTCAGGGCTGGACTCAACTAAGATGGAGCTTAATTAATTATGGTGGCCCTGCCAGGTGCAGTGGCTCGTACCTGTAATCTCAGCACTTTGGGAGGCTGAGGTGGGAGGATGACTTGAGTCCAGGAGTTCAAGGCTGTGGTAAACTATAATGGAACCACTGCATTCCAGCCGGGGCAACAGAGCAAGGCCATGTCTCAATTAAAAAATAAAATAAAAATATTTTAAAAATATGGTGCCCTAACTGCTTGAATCTGGGGCCAAGGGAGTCTAAAGAGGAGAGGGGGCTGGGATACAGGGATCATCTTCCGCATCCCACACATATTTCATTTTAATTTGGTAAACATGAGCATCTACTCTGTGTCAGGTGTGGTCTTTCATGTTGAGGACACAGAGGAGGCCCCAATATAATGCCTACTCATAATAACGTAAATGTGTATGCAGCAAACTCCAGTCTCATGGATAAAGCAGAATGTCCTTACTGTGAAAATGGTCATGAATAATGCACTGATGGCTTTCTAATCATTTTTTAGTTCAGAAAGCAATCAATTTTCAGTGGAGCACACTGGTCTTGGCTGTTGGGCCTGGGAGACATTTTTCAGATGTGCCTAGATAACTGAGGCAAATCCACCCATTGGGTGCAGATGTTATTTTTTTTAAATACCAGTATGCTGACTAATACTGCATTTATTAACAATGAAAGTTAGTAGAGTCTGGAAGTTGGTAAAGAATCCCAAATATCAACTGGGATTTTTTCCACCCAAGTTCCACAAAAAAGGCAGTATCTCCTTGTGGTTTGGTGATCATTTCTAAAGCAGTGAGATTTGCATCAGGTCTTTAGTCATCTGTCCTGTTTCAAGGTAGGTCTGGGAAGAAGGAAGGCTGGAGGAATGATTGGGATCAGATCAGGAGGCAGAGTTCCAGGAAATCATCCACTGTTCAGTGTTCCTTTTTCTAACCTTGAGTTGAGGCTTTCACCTCCATTTTGAAGACTGCTGCTCTGTTTGCCTGGTGTCTGGACCTAGGTCTTCACAGTTTGGCTTCAATATGGAAAGCCCAGGAAATGGATGTCCACCAGATTGCCAAGGGAGTCCACATGTGAAGGAACTCCATCTGGGATGCCAGTGTCTTCTGGAAGGTGTCAGGGCAGTACTACCCAGTCACTAGACTGCAAATAAACTAAAGGAAGAGGCCATGCCATTCATTTCTGTAACCCCTATTCCCAGCTGGACATATAATGCCTGGCATTTAGTAGGCAATTAGTAAAGGGTAATGAAATGGATTGTATTTTTGGCTCCCCACAGAGTCTGTCTGTCTTTACTATTCAATGCTGGGTGGAAAAACCACCACCAGCCAGGCTAGGAAAACCCTTAGACTTTCCAGGGGTTCAGGCCACTGCTATTTCCTCCCTACCCAGAAAAGCACAGGTTAAGCCACAATCACTAGGCAAAGCTGATTGCCTCTGACATTGGACCCACCCTGTCTGGGAGAAACGAAGTGCTTTCTGACTCAAATTCCCACCAGCAAAGACACAGTGACGTTCCTGTGGCCGCCAATCCCTTCCTCCTCATCCCCCATAAGACCCAACAATCCCTGTTTTTATGACACAGCCTCTGATCCCAGCTAGCCTAGGATGGGGATGGGAGGTTAAGACTGATCACCCAGACAGATTTCTTGAATTGGATATAAAGGTCAGGAGAAAGATGGTCATGGTGATAGAATCCAGACCCTGCTGCTGGCCTATCCTGAAAACTCTTGACGCCAGAGAAGGACTTTTTATTAGTTTGATGTTTCGATGGAAAGTCTTGGCTACGTTGGCACCCAATAATGGTGTTCCAAAGATTCCAAAAGAGTTGTTTTTCTCTATTCTTTTGGCACCAAAAGGTCATTAGAGGTCCTTACCATGGACAGTCTCTTCTTTCCAGAAGGATGGGAGCCATGAAGATGTGGAAGCTGGGGAAAGACTTTTTTTCTTTCACCTGCAAATGGAGAAAGACCTCAAGTTCCAAGTTCTAGGAGATGCATTGAGGGCTTCAGAATTTTTTTTTAAGACAAGCTGTTTAAGAATAAGACTGAAAGCAATTTTTCACTTTTGAATTGGTAGCATCTCTTATTTTTACTGTGTGCTTACTGCATGCTTGATATTGCATTCTTGGCTGCCCACAGATTCTGTCTGTCTTCAGTACTCATTGCTGGGTAAAAAAACTACCACCAACCAGGCAGGGAACACCCTTAGACTTCCTAGGATGCTCAGGAAACATAGCAATAACATGATTGATTCCAGAAGATCACCTTTTAGAAAGTATGTGTGTATTTGATTTGAGAAATGGTGTTTACTCAGGGAGAGATACCTGAATAAAGAAGGAAACTGAGGGAATAAACTAAAACCTGAAGCCTGGAGGGTTTGGTCCTTCAGTGACTCAGCACATGATGTTCACCTCTGTTCTGCAAATGAGCTGAGAGCTGATCTGTCTCACAGACTGTGCTGGGGGCTGTTGGAGGAAACCACTCTAAGACAGACCAGTTCCCAGGATGTTGTCAAGAAAATCACATGACTGCAGGTGTGAACAAGCCTAGACATTCACTCTAAAATACCAGCTTCCATTTCTGAGGTTCTCACCATAGCCTTAAGAAATAGGGATGATCATACCTTATTCACAGATGAGGAAACAGAAATTCAGAAAGTCTAACTACTTTGCTCTAGATCACATAGGAATTACATAGAGCTGGGACTCTAAACTTAAGTCTGGCTGTTTCTAGAGTCTGAGTTTCTAACCACTGTGCTATATAGGATCTCCAGTAAAAAGGAGAAAGCATGGGTTTGGAACATAGATGTATGTTCAAATTCCAGTTCTATCACTTACCGTCTCTGTGACATTGGGCTAATTGCTTAAGCATTAGTGAAACATCCTTATTCACAATGTAGGGACAACCTTGTGAGCTACTGGGAGGACGAAATGAGATAAAGATTATAGGCTTCTATAGGGAACTGCCATGTGATTGCCCTTCAGCAGCCACTGTTGGTCATTTTAGTAGATTGCAAACTCCTTGAGGAGTGAGGTGATGGCATTGTGCCTTTGTTAGTTAGCTTGATGCTTGGCCAAGTGCTTGGCCTGTATTAGGCCCTTTTTAACTCTTAGTTAGAAAGGATTTCACTTTCTAGGAAATCCTAGATCAGGATTTCACTTTCTAGGAAATCCTAGAGCAGGATTTCACCAAAGGGAATATATCTACTTTGGTAACTTATATCAATCAGAAAGAAGCTAACCAAGGTTGGGTCTTTTGGTGCCTGGAATCATTAAACCTCCAAGAAAGATGAGAAAAGTGATTATAGGTTCAGTGCAGAACTCTATAGCGGTGGAAAAATATCTTTGGGGGATAGATAGTAAAATATCTTGCTTACCTAGGGAATCATAGAAAAGATCATAATCCAAGAGCCAAGTACAGAGCAGAAAAGAAGATGCCCTGGGTCCTTCTTAGACAACAGT